TTCATTTAGGCTCAAACTTCTGGTTTCTCATTCTTTGATATCATCTTTCATTTTAAGTCGAGGATGGAGATCTTGATTTTTTCCTGAGGGGGGAGGGGGCTGGATGCTGCCTGATAAGTGCTAAAGGAAATAGCCTCTGATGGACTCTGAGTAGTTTTGTCAGATAGCCATCTGTGGTCAAATTTATGAAGTTTCACAGTATGTAATGAAAAATAAAAATTTGATCATACTTTTTTTGTATACACAATGACTATCATAGGCTTTTGCCATTCCGAATATCTGATTTATTTAGTTCAACAGGCATTTCTAATGTTGTGGTTCTACATAAAAATCCAAAGGCCCGGAGAGAAAAAGAACATTATTAAAAGATAGAATTTGGAATAAGGATGAAAGACAAGAGGAAGAGGTTGAAGAGGAAAGAATAAGAGAGCAGGAGAAAGAGAGGTGTTACTAAACATTTTTTGTACTATGTTTTTTGAAGGAATCAACTGAAGATTTCTTGTTTTACACTTCTTTCTTTTTTTGCCCCTTTTTATTGGTTTTAGGCAGAGCCTCTGTGTCTTTTCTATTCTCGATATGGAATCTGCAAGTTTGGTCCAAGTTGCAAGTTTGACCACCCAATGAGGGTTTACACACACAATCTTGCTGCATCATCATCAGGCGACACTCCAGAAGTTCGCCCTTTTTTGGCTTCATCATCTGGAACTGGTGTATTAAGTTCGTCTGGGAGAGGGATTGTGGAATCAGGCTCTACAAATAACAGGCGATTATCTTTCTCTGAAGCAAGACGGATACCCTCTGGTGATGATTAACGTTGACTCAGAATGATATACTGGTTCTCCAAACCCACGTCTCAATCATTGGATGATATATATATACCAGTTCTTGTACATTCATTCCTGAAGATGGAGATGTCTAGAATTCAATTTGAAGTGATTTTCAGCACTTCACTGCATTATATAAATCTGCAGACATGGTCACATTTGGTGAAGCCGATAGTGAAGTTTTCATCTTTCCAGACATCCATTTTTCTGATTTTTGTGATCCAATCTCCCAATATTTCGTTTTGGACCAACTTTCATCTGGCTCACTGTTGGTCTTCCCATATGTACGCAACTATTTCTCATTGAAACAACAGTTTCTATTATTTTTGGTTGATTTCTCATCAGTTTAAATATTGTTGAGGGTTTATATATATATATAGTAAGCATCACTCATAAAATCATAGTTGTTGTCACTTATGTTTCCTTAGCTTGTTCGTGAAACTAGCATTCGGAAAGAACTAATTTTGGTTTTACATTATCTTTTAACTTCTATTATTTGTCCCCTTTTTTCACAGATATCTGGATACTATTATCATCTTTCTCTAGGTCAATATCTGGATATGAAAAAGAAGTCTAAACTAGTAACACAATGGATCTCACTCTTAATGCTATCCAATGTAACCTGGAACATTGATAATTCCAGTTCAGGGAATTGGAAATGGAGCCTGCTTTTCCAATTTAATTTACCAATTTAGAAGTAGAACATGGTTGCCACTTGGCCAAATGCTAAATCGATATTAGATTATTCTAATATAATTAAATGCAGCATTTTTCTAGAAGAATACATCAGAATGGAATGGAAGTGTACAATAATTTACAATGGGCATGCCACAAAGCGATGATCTGAAGACAAGTTTGGTATAGCGGAATGGAAGTGTACAATAGAACTTTCTGGTAAATATTTTTATGTTCAACTTGTTCTGTTTATTTTCAGAAACTTTTGAATTTGATTACGTTCTATGATATTGACAGCATCTTTTAGTTGAATTTACTGCTTGCTTGATGTTTCTACAGTGATAGTATAAAGACCAGTTTGGTATGATGGCAACTTAAATATTTCTTGCTGGTCTCATCAAATGTCACTGAATTACGAGGTTCCACCTATTCCTGACAATGACTTCTTCAAGTGATCACAGGTATTCTGCAAAACTGATTTGCACGACCTTTTCCAAAAAAAAAAAANCCTATTCCTGACAATGACTTCTTCAAGTGATCACAGGTATTCTGCAAAACTGATTTGCACGACCTTTTCCAAAAAAAAAAAAAAGGTTGAACCCCAACCTTAAGGGCCCCCACTGACCCTGTCCTGGGCCATCGTGGAGGAGGTAAATCGCAGGATGTGCCTCCCAGGAGTCAGGGTGAAGAGCATATGGATAGACCAAGGCTGTTAACTCATATGGTAACTCCCCCTTGCAACAAAACCAATTTCACCTTGCGGGGAGTTGAACTCTGCACACTGCCGCACTGAACCCTATCCGCCCTCCCCTTTGCCACTGGGAGATATGCCCTGGAGGTGACCTTTTCCCCTCTTATTATGGTTTGTAATTGCTTTGTATGAAAGTGGAATTTCAACCTTTTATGCATGAACTAAGACAAAGATGCATTTTTCGTTGAGTTGGGATGTTTGTACTATGTCTTATTAATGAATATCAACCTTGGAATAGGCAAATAATAGCAGGCTTCAAAACTTTTTGAATGGATAGTTCATGTTCCCTCATCTACCCAAAAACGTATGTCCGTCTTTCGTTTCATCCCTGTTCCTCTACCGTGGCATTTCTGTTGAAAGAGATAGTCTTGAACCAAGACATGATTTGATTGGTAGAAAAATTGTGCTGTTAAAAGTGTTTACTCATTTTAAGGGACGAACAATTACTCTTTAGATGCCGAAGACTAAGAGCATGGATGCAAATTATATGACCAAGGACTTGGATACTTTCTATACTTACTATTAAAAGTGACATTTGAAATTATTTCCTCTTTTTGAGAATTGAAATGTTGACGCCGTTTTTTGTAGTGGTGATGTCGTCAAAAGATCCGACTCCCCTCACAAGTTTACTCGACATTTTTCATTAAAGGTAAGAAAGATGGCTAAAACTATGTCAACAATGGCTTTAGATATAATATCTACGGCAAGGAAGAGATAATTCATTTTATGAGGATTGACATGAGCCGTAAACTCGAAAGTGAGAAATAGCATTACAAAATAACAGTTGTAGTGGTTTTTAGTATCACAATAATCCGGTCTAAACCTATGCCACCACCTTAAAGAGCCGTAGTCTAATGTCAAGACAACGTACAGTGGCACCATTGTCACTACCATCTAGTAAATTACTAAACATGCCGTTGGTTTTTTGTTTAATTTGTGCAACAAAGCCATTGAATGTACAATTATCAATATGAAATGTTTTCTGCTCATATATGTGTATATAAAATAATGGTAATTAGCACAAAATGTTATTACCTTTTAATGTTATTGTGTAAAACGTTTTTACCTTTTAATTTTTTAGTATTTTCACCCATATTTTCACATTTGGTGGTGAAAAAGTTCATTTTCATTTAATTTCTCATAAAAAAAAATGTAAAATGACAAATATACTCTCATATTCAAATAAAAGAAAAGAAAACATAAATAACAAATTGTAATTTTACTTTCAAACTTTTAAAAAACTACAAATGAGTCCAAATAAATTATTAAAAGGGTAATTAGCATGAAATGTCCCTATATTTTCATATTAATGCAAAACGTCATTATCTTTCATTTTTTTTTTTTGACATTTTCACCTTTATTTTCATATGTTATTGTGGAAATTATCATTATCATCTATTTTCTCAATTAAAGCTGTAAAATGATGAATATATCCTCCTATTTAAATAAAAAAATAAAGAACTAATTGCAACTACACTCCCAAATTTTGATGAAGAATGTGTGGAGTAATACAAATTCTATTAATGTGACAAGACACCATCTTTCTTCTTATTGATGAGAGTAAACTTGTTGGATAGAACTATGCCAACAATGGCTCAAGATATAACATCTTTAGCAAGGAAGAGATAATTCATCTTATAAGATCGGCATGAGCAGTAAACTCATATGCGAAAAATGACATTATGAAATTGCAATTGAAATGTTTATAACATCACGATGATCTGGTTTACACCTATGCCAACACTTTGTGGAGGCATAGCCTAATGCCAAGGTCATGTACAATGGCACCATTGTCACTACTATCTCGTAAACATCTTACCATGCAATCATTTTTCGTTTAATTTTTGCAGAAAAGCTTGTGAATGTGTACAATTCACGATATGAAATAATTTCGAGTACATATATAATAAGTTACAGTCTAGTTTATAGGACTATTTAATCCTTAAAATTAGTGAAAACATTTTTTATGTTGAAACCGCCTAAAAACCTCTCTATTTTTAATTATCAGTTAAATTTTAAATTTTAAAGACATATAGAGAAATACTTGTTTTATTTTTATATGTATTTCAACTTGTTTTGTTATTTGTAGATTGCATTCGTTTTTAAAAATAAGATAAAGTTAAGAAGTAATATTTTATAAATAAATTGTGGCAACTCTGTTTAGCGAATCATTGAAATGTGTCAAAATATTAAAAAAGAATTTTACAAATTTAATGCTACTGTTACCTACTTTAAATTAGTTCGAATCTCTTAAGTTATTGAATCTTAGACGAACTCGTTATTTAATCTAGATCAAGTTTTGGTGCAAGTTTACAATAAAATCCAATTTGTTCATCAATACTCAATTCTTTTCTTCAACTTTTCTTTCAAATAAAATCCGTATATTCACAAATGCGTAATTGATCAAATTGGAATGTTAAGAATTGCTGTCAGAGCTTGGATGTTGTTTCGCGTG